TCTGTCTGTTTGTATACAACTACCCATCTGTCTGTTTGTCTGTCTATCTCGATACATTAGGTACGTAGGCATGGATAGTTAGATGCAGATAGATGTAGGTAAATAGGTAGACCGTTGGCAAACAGTTGGCACACAACTGTTTGGTACACAGCTATTAGGACAGTTGGTGGACAGTTAGCAGACAGTTGACCCACAACCGTTGGCAGACAGTTGGCACACAACTGTTTGGTACACAGTTATTAAGACAGTTATAAGACAGTTGTAGGCATTTGGCAGACAGTTGACCCCACAACCGTTGGCACACAGTTGAACAGGCTGTGGACAGACAGTTGGGCAGGCAGTTGCTGACATGACAGGTGGACAGTCAGTCGGTTTCAAGCCACATGGTTGATGGGACAGTTAAAATCAGTACGTCGGTTGTTAGTCAGTTGTGAGACAGTTGGAAGGCAGTTGGTGGGCAGTTAGCAGGCAATCAGGCAGATGATGTGGTGGCAGACACTTTATGGGCACTTACTAAGTAAAAAAAAGGTAGTTACCGCAGGCACACACATTATTGTTGGTGGTCAGGACACTAGTAATATATATATAGGTGGGTTGGCAGTTGGCAAAAAGTCAAGTCAATACACAGTTCAGAGGCAGTTGGCTGACAGATCGGAGACAGTTGGCCAAACAGTTGCCTGACTGTTGAAAAACAATTCGTGGTAGGTCGTTGGGAGGAAGTTGATGAACACAGCTAGCAGACAGTTAGGAACACGCGCTGAATTTAACTGGCATGGCCACACCGAGGCATGGATCCATCCGGATGGGAGTGTGGGCTACACAGCAGCCTGGCTCCTGTGCAGCAGGGGCCAGCAGCCTTCTTTCTGGTATCAAGGATCCAGTACTATCGGTGGCAGCACAGCGCAGGAAGAGGACACGATGCTGCCCAGACATTGCTTCACAGGGAGGAGGGGCCTGTGTGTAGTATGAGAAATGTTAGTCTGAAGCACTGCTGCTGCTGCGGGTGATTGTGATGATGATGTTGAGACATTTAGTCAGCTACAGACTGTAGTCCTTTGCCCTGTAGCTGCGATGTGCACATATGATGGCAGCACTGCATGAGCATATGAGCATGTGTATGTGTGGGTGGCCAGGACGGAAGGGGATTGTAGTGCTAGAAGCATATATGTAATCGTTTGAGGCATGACGATGAGCTTCATCCCCAT